CCACCCATATGACTATTATAATCTTTAATAATCTGCGGGCAGGGAATCATTTTGATGGTTTTATCTTTTTTGTCAAACCTCTTCGCTGTCAAAGTCTCTGATGCGGTTTGTATTGAATGCACCAACGGTTTCATTCGAACATAGGTAGACACCAAATTTACTACTCGGTTATCTTTCCAGCTAAGGGATGTCACATCGATGCCACATATATTCGAGACATATTCTTGACTGGTACCACGTTCAAATTTTAGCATGGTTTTTTCTTCAGGGAGCTTACAATTTTTATAGCCGAACGCACTTGTGCACAAGGGTATATTAATTTTGTTCACATAACGGTTGTTTGTAACAGCCAAAACGAATCGAGATAGATATAGACAAATGTATACATAAATGCTCAGAATGAATAGAGAAATCGATTAAGCCATGTCTGTCGGTCCGTCCGTCTGTCCGTCTGTCCGTCCGTCCGTGTACACGATAACTCGAGCAAAAATTGAGATATCTCAACAAAATTTGGCATATAGGTTTCCGCTAATCCAAGGTAGGTTGGTATTGAAAATGGGCAAAATCGGACAATAACCACGCCTACCTCCCATATAACGGTAATTTTCAGAAATACGAAAACTGCGATATTTTAGTAACTACTGAAGATTATTCACTCAAAATTGATATTTACAACAATTTTCAGACGAAAAATAAGAATATTATAAATTTTTGGAAAATGGGCGTAGCCACGCCCACTTATGGTTACATGTGTATATCTTGGTAACCGCTCCACCAATTTCTTCCAAACTTGGCACAGTTGTTGGCCTTGGTACAGCATACATACAGTTATGGCCGAAAATTTTTAAAATCGGACCATAACCATGCCTACATCCCATATAACGGTAATTTAGAGAAATACAAAATCTTCGATAAATCAGTAAATATTAAAGCTAATTTATTCAAAATTGATGATTGCAAACAATTCTTTACCAAGAAATACGTTTATGGTAAAATTTTGGAAAATGGGCGTGGCACCGCCCACTTATGATCACATATATGTATATCGGTAACCGTTCTACAAATTTGTACCAAACTCGGTATTTTTATTGTGCTTGCCACATAAAAGCAAAATGTGGAAAATTATTGATATCGGACTTAAATTACGGCCGCTTTTCATATAACGGTAAATTTCTGAAATGCTTGAAACTGCAATATTTCGAAATTTAAGGACGCTAATTTACTCAAAATCGATACACCCCGGCTTACCATCTAGCGGTAGCTTTCGGAAAGGTGAAAAAATATATATTTAATACTTGCGCCGGGTATTTAATGTTCAGCTCCACCCGAACTTAGACTTTCTTACTTGTTAATTCTGTTACGCTTAATTGTTCCGACGCAAAGGATACCCTGGATTCATAAATATACTAGTAATTGTCAAAAAAAGGTATATAATTTTTAAAACGAGAGACTTCGCGAACTAACCTCACTACTATATTTGCGGATGGCTGAAGATCAGGTTCTGCTTGAATAGGTTTCTCCGCTAATCCGCTGTG